AATATGTTTTTAATATCACTAGGGTGGTGAAACTCCAATAATACCTCAATGAGTATTTTAACGCGCTGAGGCATATCCTTGATAGCAGTATCAACATTATAAGTGAGGACTGTGAGATCTTCCATCTTCCCTTTACTGTTGGTCACACGGGCCTTTGAAGTTTTACCACCGATGGAGGCACTAGTACTCATTATTACACTAAACAAACTAAGCAGTAGTCATACCTCAACACGTTATGCTTCGAAGTTTACATACGAATGACCCAGGTTCAATTCCAGCCGAACGTCCTTTATTTTTCAATGCTGCTGTTAATTAAAAAACTGGAATGAATATAAGACGACCCAATTCAGACGGGCATTTTCCGAGAAATCGCGAGTCGATTTACAGTAAATTTACAGGGTAAATTTGAAATGAATACAAAATTAAGAGAAAAGTACAAAAAAAATGGAAAAAAATACAAAATTCTGGGGAAAGTCAGAAATAAATACAAAATTATTTTTTGAAAAAGCACAAATTTGAGGGAAAAATTTGAGATGAAAACAAAATTGAAAAGAAAAATTACAAATAAATCACTAGAATTCACAGCTATTTCGATACGAATCATTTTTTGTTTTCACCTCGGACAGATGATTCAGCACCAAACTAAAATCTGGAAAATTCGACCGAAAACATGACATTAAATATCAATCGGAAAACTCTTAGAATGAACTCGAAAAAAATAATTTCACTTTTGAATCTCGAAAAGTATATTCTTTTAACAAACTTTAAAAAATGAAATTATCAATTTAGATGATATTGAAACATCCAAAGTGAAAACTAACTTCAACAACAACAACAGCAGAAAATGAATTTTTGAACTTTTTCACCAATTTCGAATAGCTACACCGAATCGCATAAGTGACAAAATTTCAAGGAATAAGATGTCTTGGAGGAACAGATGTTCGCTTTCCTCACCTGAGCTGCGGAGTTTATATACGAATTCGGGTAGAAGCGTACAGAAACCAATGAGAATTTCCTCCCAGAATTTTCATATTGTCACTAACACACGTAGTTGACCATGTGCATATTACTACACTGCAAGGCGTGGTAACACAAACGATTTGATTCTGAGGCGAACGGAAGTGAACAGGTTAATGATTAATTTCACCAAATCAATGGGGAAACGAAATCATGTCGCAACATGAATAATAAATTCGGAATTTTGTTCTAAAAATACAATTTTCGAAGCGGAGCGATTAACACGAATTTCCCTACGAGAGCAATACCACTACTACAGTAACTTGTGACTGATCCCGACTCGTAGACACCGAGGTGACACAATAATATCATCTAGCTTGTTAGATAGACTAGCAGATGTCAAGCACCAAGAACCGTAACAGAATCATTAATGAAGTCATCGAACCCTGCCTTGCCTTGCCCAGATGTAGAGTGTAGGTCCAATCCTTAGCTGGCTGGCAGCAGTCAAATGAGTACATTTACAACTCTCGCGCGCCACTAAATTATATAATGCACTGTTGCAGATCAGGGATGAGACAACGTACTCGTAGAACGCAAGATACGATCGGCTGCTGACGAGGGTGTATACTACTCAGATGGTAGAACCAACTGTATATAGCTATGTCAGCTACTTATGAAAGAACGAGAGGAAGTAAGATAGCAAGATTGAGTGTCCGATCAGCAACACTCCCCGGGCGGCCGAAGCCACATATTACTTCAAAAGATAGCAAAAATGGAGAAGAATATCAATGCCTACTGATCAACAACATCAACTGCTGCGTTAACCTTCTTCAGGTTACCGATGTAATCAAATCTAACTTGACCAACAGTATGAGTGATACCAGCGATCACTCCATTGATACTAACTACAGTATAAATTACATCCTCAATCCAACGTCTATCTAGCTTATTGCGACCATGATTGTAACGCACAACCTGATCACCTGGTTTGAGACTGAATGAGGCTCTAGCTATGCTTTGACCAGCATAAGAACTGCGAGATCTCATCATAGAGTCGAGATTCTCGGCTTCCATAGCAACATAAACGCTATCATCAGAAATACGCTGAGTGAACGATAAGATCATTGCATCCAACTCACGAGTGGTCGGAATGCGCAGAGGTAGATTGTCCGCTAATGCAACCTTAGCAGGCTTACTCAGCTGACGCATAGTTGATAAGCTAGCCGGTAATGCCCGACCATACACGAAGTGTAAGTCGGAGCTGAAGTACCCACTGCTCAATGATGGTCTCGTTATATTATTACAGATATAGCATGCCCGTGGTAGAAGATCGTAC